CTGACTCGCAACGGAGTGCTGCTACATCGACTGACAAATAGCCTGACTCGCAACAGAGTGCTGATACATCGACTGACAAATAGCCTGACTCGCAAGGGAATGCTGCTACATCGACTGACAAATAGCCTGACTCGCAAGGGAGTGCTGCTACAACGACTGACAAATAGCCTGACTCGCAAGAGAGTGCTGCTACATCGACTGAGGATTTGGTTTGGCCAGGCAGTCTATCAATTAAAAAAAAAAATTTAATTTTCAAATTTTTAAAACTTTTTCTGGTCTGGTTTATTAACGCGCTCTTTAAAACTACAGTTTTTGGGAAATTTTTTTTGATGCTACGCAAGAGACATGCAAGAGTATATATATATATATATATATATATATATATATATATATATATATATATATATATATATATATATATATATATATATATATATATATATATATATATATATATATATATATATATATATATATATATTTTAATGAAGTAATTTGCGGAATTTTAATGAAGTAATTTACGATTATTTTAACATTTAATAAAGTATTTTAAAAACCGCACGCAGTTGGTATAAAAGTTTGAATTACAAAAAATTTAAATATGCTCATTATTTACAAGTAGAAAAAATTCAGATTAAAAAAAAAGTTTAAAATATTTTTAAGCTAACATTTTAATAAAATTATTCAGCAATAGCAAAGTTGTCGATAAAATTGAACAAAAATACTTTTTTTTAGTTTTAGATTTTTAACTTAAATAATTTTTTTTACGGGGGTTTGTTAGGTTTTAAAATTATTCCATAGATTTAAAAATATTTATTAACTGTTAGACGTATTTAAAGTATTTAAGAGGAAACATTTTAAAAATTGGTAAGCCCAAATAAAAAAAAAAAAAAAAGAATAATATTAAAACGTATTCTACTTGATTCAATAAAAAAGTACAGCTATTAAAATTTTTGTAAAAAGTCGAAAACTCAAAAAAATTACTTAAATAATTACAATCGCTTTTTTGTTAAAAGATACCGAAACTCAACTAAGCGCGCTCGAGAACAGCTGCTGAAAAATAGAACGTCAATAGTTTTTCGAATAATTTTTAATAATTTTTAAGAATAATTTTTTCGCTGAAATATGTCTTTTATACCTATAAGATTTTTTATTCTAACATTTTATTTTATTTTACCAAAAATATAATTCCTTGTAAACATTAAAAATCTATTCAAAACATTCGTTAAAGTTTTTTAGCAATACGAGTGATTGTGCTTATCAACCGCTTTATGAAAATAAATAAATAAAAAAATATTTATAAAATCGCTAGTAAAAATATTAGCTATTGCACAGTTTTTAATCGTACAATATTAAAATTTCCAGTTTATTACTCGCTGACTTTTTAAAAAGAAAAAACAATTATTTGAAAAACTTTAAATAATATATTTGACAAAAAAAAAAATCAAATATTAGCATATTTTATAATCTTTTTAAAATGTTTAGTTATAATGTTTTTTATTCGTTTAGTATAGACTAAACGTGTCAAACGTCGAGAAAATAAACAAATGTTTTTACAATTTAAAAAACGAAACATTCCGAAACATTTTTAAAAAATAACATTTCTACATTAATGATTTAAAGTAGTTTTGCGGTAATTAAGTAAATTGGTGCAGTTAATGTCGATAAATATGAAAAGCTTAAAAAAAGAATTTAATGACGTCAAAAATCACGTCGTGCTTATGCGTCGCGCAGGTTTTATTCATCACAAGACCTGATATATATATATATATATATATATATATATATATATATATTATATATATATATATATATATATATATATATATATATATATATATATATATATATATATATATATATATATATATATATATATATATATATATATATATATCACTTTGTTACGGTTCTTTGCAAGTTTTGAAAATCTGAGTGAAAAAATACAAAACTAAACCAAATAAAAATCTTAACAAATGATAAAATAAATAAAAGAATATACATTACTATTCTATAAAACATCAACTGAAACGTTTTATTTTAATCTTTTGTTAAATTCCCTCACTATACTGGTAACTTATTTAAACTTAATAACTAAAGTCAATTATCTTTTATTTAAAAATTGTATAGATTATAGTTAATAAATCATAGAGTATAGAATATAGAGAATTAAAAAATATCTTTACACGATAAATAACTAAACAAAATTAACAATATCAAAATAATCAACCAAACAATGTGGACATTTTTTATTATCCGAGTTAGTGCATAATAATTAATGCGCTAATTAGCGCATAAAATATTATGCACTGTTATTGATTCGCAGTGGAAGCTATTAAAGTTCCACCACTTATATGGAACCATCAGGTCGTAATAGTCTTAAGAGAAGCAAGAAATATTTTATATAAGTGCAAGGAAGTGCAAGATAAATTATAATATTTGGACAGATGTCCAGAATTAAGATTTGGTGTGTAAAAGAAGAGTACTATTCAGTAATTAAGTTTGAGTTAAGTAAGTGTTGTTCAAGTTAGATTTAAGTACGTGTTGTTGCAGTGTTCTGTAAGTTATTGTGTTTTGTGTTTGTACTGTTCTAAACGTTAAAGTTTTATGTGTCATTTAATGTTTTTATTGCTTTGAATCTGTGTGTTCGTAAATAATGGTTCTTAGTCTCGCTCAGTCCAATCTTATTATGTTCTCTTTACATATCAGGGTGCGTATTCAGCAAACTTTTTTTTTGCGTAAGTTTGGCGTAAGTTTGGCGTAAGTTCAAAACAGTGAAATCTGTATTCACGAAACTTGCGCAGTTGCGTTAAACAAGTTTTTTCGTAACTTCTGTGCTAAAAAATCGGTATTCACCAAGCTGAAACGGTATTCTGTGATAGATTATTACCTCCGCCTGAATTATCACCTCCCCCTATTGAAAACTCAAAACGAGGTTGCGCTTTCTAGTTATAGCTGTTAGATGTGTTCCTAAAACGTCCGGATTACCTTACATAACATAACGTAAACATAAACAACGAAAATGACGCTTCGAGGACAAGAATTCGAGAAATAAAGTTTACTTGGTCTTTTGTGATGTTCCAATTCCATTTTTTTGAAAGGTAATATAAGGAAGGTTATATAAAAAAGGTTGATAGTAATAGATATTATACAAATGTAATATAACTAGTTTACTTATTATACTTATAATTATTATACTTGCATAAAAGTATTAAATTATTACCTCCCCCTTAGACTCAGGCTTGCTAAGACTTAGTAAATAACTTGATATGAGATGATACGATACTGGTATTGTTTGATAATGATAGAAATTGTGCATCTGTAAATTAATTAGTCACTTTTTTACTTGAAAATGCTCAAAATCTTTATATCTGTCTGAATTATCACCTCCCCCTTTGGAAATCACAAAACCTTCACCTGAATTATTGCCTCCCCCTTGTAAATCAGTCAATATAAGACGGTATGATTATGTTATTTAGTAAGAAAGATAGAAATTTTACAACGGTCAATAATTAGTCATATATTTACATGAAAATACTCTACAAATATTTTTATATCTGTCTGAATTATCACCTCCCCCCTTAGTCAATCACTCCATATGAGATAGTGCAATAATGGTATTGTTTTATAATGATAGAAATTGTTTATTTGTAAATTAATTAGTCACTTTTTTACTTGAAAATGCTCAAAAAATTTCTTTGCATTTGTCTGAATTATCACCTCCCCCTTAGAAAATCACTAAACCTGCGCCTGAATTATTAACTCCCCCATGTAAATCAGTCAGTATAAGATGGTGTGATTATGTTATTTAGTTAGGAAGATAGAAATTTTACATCTGTAAAGTAATTAGTTATTTATTTACTTAAAAATGCTGTAAAAGGTTTTTTATATCTGTCTGAATTATCACCTCCCCCCTTAATCAATCACTTTATATGAGATGGTGCAATAATAGTATTGTTTTATAATGATAGAATTTGTTTATTTGTAAATTAATTAGTCACTTTTTTACTTAAAAATGCTAAAAAAATTTCTTTGTATTTGTCTGAATTATCACCTCCTCCTTAGAAAATCACTAAACCTGCGCCTGAATTATTAACTCCCCTATGTAAATCAGTCAGTATAAGATGGTTTATTTTGTGACATTGTATTTAAAAATTTATTTTTTGTTCGTTTTTAGTGACTCATCATGTTATAGTGTGATGTTTTCTGAATGACTTTATGTGATAGTGTGAACGTTTTCTGACTGGCAGAAGGTAAGTTTTTCAGTTTTTGAATAAACAATATGATAAAGCTCAACTTTATCATATTGTTTATTCACTATTGGAAAACCACCTTTATAATCATTTGAAGTTACGGAATACTTATATATAGGTTTATTAGTTTTAAGTATTTTATTTATTATAAAGTTTATTAATTGTTTCAGGATATTCAGTTTTCTTTTTGCCCCACCTTGTCAGTCTTGTGCTAAAAAGGTAAGTTTAGTGTTATATCTTTAGAAGCTAATATTATTTCGGTCCTAATGGTAATGCACGCAAATATGAATTAATTGTGTTAATAAATTTTTTTTTTCTTTGTTTATTTATTATTCAACTTCATTTCTTTGTGAATTTGTTTTATAGAAGAGATAGAACCACATTTATGTGTAAACACTGACAGAGGAAAAAAAGGACTAGTTTATTATGAATACACCACATTGGTATAAAGACTATAATTTTTTTTATACACTCTTTATACAATAATTAACATTTATATATATGTGCGTGTGTGTGTATGTGTTATATTTGTAAATATGCTGTATATATATATATATATATATATATATATATATATATATATATATATATATATATATATATATATATATATATATATATATATATATATATATATATACATATATCAAAATTCTTGATAGATAGAACCTAAATAAAGTTTATATAAAAATATTAAAACAATATTGTAAATAATTTTAATAAAAATTACTTTAAAAAATTGTTATTTAATGTTTTAATTATGGATCTTTATTTTAACTGTTATTATTTAATTTAATTGATTGTTTTGAGAAAGGTTTGTGCAGGTAAATGATTTGCTGCTTTCTGTTACATTTGGAATGCAGTCCATGTGATACCATCGACTTGGTAAGCATTTATCACACTTAATCTATAAATAAATCATATATATAGTTTCATGATTATTATTTAAATTTAGAAATAAAATGAGATTTCAAGATAATACAAATCTTATACCCATTTATTTATTATTTGCTTTTTATATTTTTTCGGTCGTTTTGCATTACTACATATGCGACACAAAACATCTTTCCAATTATGTAGACCTGAGTTTAAATTTTTTCAACTGTTATTTTTTTACTGGTATATTTATATTTTTATTAAACAATTTAATAAATAACAAACCTCCTCTATCTATAAGATAGTGCACCACCTTGTTTCGATATTGAACTACTTCTTCTAATGGAAAGGACATTGCCAACTCTTCTCCATTCATAAAGTTTTCAGCAAATTAAAAAATTTTAATTTAGAACTCTTAACTATAACAAATGTTTTATTAAACTCGGCTTAGGTTGAGCTACCTAAAAAATTTGTGATAATTTTTTAAAGTAGATGATAAGGAGGGGAGGAGGAGGAGATAACAAGAGTCTAAAGTTGCCTCTAAACAATGAACACTCGAATTAAAAATTTGTTGGTAGGCATATATGGTAATAGAGCTGTGTTTATTTAGTTACTGGATAGCTCAATTGGTATACCGTTAATGAGTACTGCTCATTTGCATCAATATTATTTGGGTTTAGTCTTATTATTGCATCACTATCCAGATTCATTATAAAAAATAACTGATGCAGCTTTTGATTAGACTTTGAAGATATTTGCTGCTATCTTTATGATAAATAAAAAATAATGGAACTATATATCTTTTATAAAAATTGTAAAAAAATAAAAAGTATTTTACATTACTTTAAGACAAAAGACTCCACACGATATGCTGTCTCTTTGCAGTGCATGTGGCAATGTCATTATTTTAAATGTTTCTGAAATTCCATACCTTTGTTTCAAATAGTTACTGAAATTGAAAAAAAAAGAAATAGTTTCTTTATCTAAATAAGCATTATGTATTAAGGTTTTATACTATTTTAGTCATGCATTGCTTATTGAATAATTTCATACTTCCATTTTATTTCTTCTTTTTTTATTGAAGATAAGATTTCGCCTAGAGGGTTGATGTAATAAAAGCTCTTTTCCTTTGGTTTGATTATCTAGAAGAAATAACAATTTAAACATTTTAATCCTAGTTTCTTTCCAATTGAATAATTTTTTTAAAAAAGTTTGGATTATTTTTTTATTATGAAATATTTATGTTTATAAATATTATTTATATTATTTTTATTCTTTGAAATACTTATATTGCTTATCTAACCCGTTTCATTCATTCATCCATTTTGATGAATAGATCATTAAATATAAAAGAGTTTACTCACTGTAAGCGTCCAATGATGTTTTGCAACAACACAGCATATAAGAATATCTAGTTTTAACAACTCATCCTGCATATAAATAAGATTTTTATTTAAATACCGCATGTGTTATGAATAAGTATTTAGTGGCATAATCATGTGAAGGATCTTTTATCCTTAATATTTAATGTTTTTTTTATGCTTGCATCGACCTTACAACGGCCATATGCGCATGAATCTCTTCATGTGTAGGATTAAAGGAAAAAAAGCGACTCCCTAACCATTCGCCTTGTTACGCTTATCTATCTATATTTAATTTTTAATTAATGCTTTAAATATTTTAATAACATTCAATTTTTTTTTTTCAGTGAAAATGTTTAATACCAAATTTTTCCTTCGAATCAAAGCTGTTTTATTTGGTAAGACTTCTTGTGATAGTAATCCGGCTGGTGCTAGTACTTCAATTTTGTTCTTACATGAAAAAAAGAATTGTGAATTTTAGCATTGTAAATCATGTTATAATGTTTTATTTATAAAAATAGTTTTTAAATTTACATGTTTTATAAGAAATATTGTATTGTAAACTGGCTTAAAATTCAGAATTTTAGTTTTAAATAATGTATGTTACATTACATTAAAATATTTTCATAACATAATTGCGTAATTTTTCATAAATCTTACCTTATCTTGATTACTAGCAAGTAAACTCAGATAAACGTAAACTGTTTCATCACTCAAACAATCAACTAGAGTTTCTTGTAATGAGTAGTTGTATATTTTGCTGTCTCCCAATTCTTTAAATATACCCATTATTGCTTTTATCGGTTTAAGATTTTTTAGGCATTCGATTATTTCGAATCCTGCATATAATATGAATTTTTTTTTCTACTTTTACTAATAGTATATTTAATAAACAATTTTGATTTGAAAAACACCTAAAAATTCAAAATTTTGCTCACTTTAGTTGCACGTCATATAAAATATACCTTCACTGTTTTCAATAATACAGCTTTTACCGCTGTCGCTTACTTCTGAATCGTCAAACTCTATAAAATAAAATAATCGATTAAATTTTAAAAATTAATATAACTTGCCTTGTTTTTTAAGTATGAAACAAAAAGAATTTAAAAAATTGCATGTTATTCGGCGTAAAGTGTTAACTACTTTGTGTTCTTTTTACTGAAGTATCATTATTGCTCAAATCTGTAACGTTGACATCATCTACAAAAAAAAGAAATTAGAAAAACAGATTTTTTTTCATCATTGTTTCTAGCTAACAAACAGATAAACGAAGAACTTCAATATATACATACATACATTACATACATACACACATTCATTAAATACATACATACATACATACATACATACATACATACATATATATATATATATATATATATATATATATATATATATATATATATATATATATATATATATATATATATATATATATATATATATATATATATATATATATATATATATATATATATATATATATATATATAGTGAAAAATTCCATACCTTTTACAACAGTACTTTCAATGAATTTTTTTATATGTATTTTTTTGTGCGTTCCCGATATTTGCATACCTTTATCATCTTTTAATCTAAAGTTCCCACATTGTGTTACATGAGAAATAATAAACGGACCTTTAAAACGTGGTTTTAATGCAGCACCTTTTGATCTGCGACCCCTAATGTCAAGTAACAATACTTTATCTTCAACGTCAATGGATTCCTTTTCAATTTTTTTACACTTCAATACTTTTTTATCGTAATGTATCTTTTGCTTGTTTTGAGCATCTTTGATGTTCTAAAATTAAATTTTGCTAAATTGCTAACAAACGCAATTGGTACGTACCTAGCTTTCATATTATTTAATCTTATTATTGCTATTTAATAATGTTATAGCATCAAACCTTATAAACCAAATTTGTGAGATTTTCAATGCGAAGTTTGCTTTTTTCTATTTCACTCGTTATATTATCATCTGTTGCATTCACAAATATTTTGTTCTTTAAATAAATTATAAAACTTACGATATCTTTTTTTATACATTGATTTTATAAATTAACTGCCAACAATTCAAATAAATTTTATACTTTTAACACAATTTGGTGACATGTGTACGTGTGTGATATAAATTGTTTGAATAAATAATAAAAAAAATTTACTTCCTCAAATTCACTAGTACAAACAGGTGACCGACCACCAAACATTATTTCAAAAGGGGATACTTTTGTAGATTGTTGCCTCTCCACTCGTAGTGGGTACAAAACAATATCAACATATTCGTTCCAATTTGTTTGATTTTCATTAACCAGTTTTCTTAACTTTCTAAAAGTACAAAAAGCGTAAATATTTAATAACTGACATGAAAATCTAAATAATTTTGTAATATACATATAAACATAATATGCAATAAAATAAATTTGATAAATTCAAACAATTCAGTAAATATGGAAGTATTATAAATAAAGAACACGTTTGACAAAACAAGAATGGTTACATTTTAAGATGCGCTTAATAGAAATTATTAATCACTTAAGCGGTCCTCACCCAAAACAAAAAACATTATAACCTTTTTACATTTTTATTGGTGTTTTCGTCTTGTCCATTGCACTGTGGGTGATAAACGGCTGTCTTTCTTCGTTCAATACCCAGCATTTTGTACATTTCGTGGTTTAACTAAAAAATTAGGATTAGTAACAAAAGTTAAAAAACCCTTAGGGTTTCATTATCATTATTTTAATTTATTTTTACCTGATTACAAAACTCAGTTCCATTATCTGAAAGTATTGCCGAAGGAAATCCAAAAGTTGTAACTAATTTAATAATAGGCTTTGCAACAGTGGTAGCTTCTTTATTTGGTAAAGCATATGCAACCGGCCACTTGGAAAACAAATCTGTGCAACTTAAAAAATATTTGTTGCCCATTGCTGTTTCTGTAAAGGGTCCAGCAAAATCAATACCCACAATTTCCCATACTCGAGTTGTCTAAAGTTATTAATTATAAACATTATAACAAGACCTTATTATGCTGCTTAAAATTGAATCTAAGTTATTCTATATTAGGTAAGGAGTTAAACTGCTCGCTTCATGATTAAGGTTTTTTATGGTCGAATGGCATCCTTGTATCGTAACGCACTCGATTTAATTTATTATGCAGAAGCTTTGTCTAACAAAATTTATGTTTCAGTGAGATGGATTTCAGAAAGAGTTGCAATTAGTTAAGATGAAAAAAAAAATTATTATAATATAGAAGAATATCATTTAAAAAATGTATTCTTCTTTTCTGTAGAGTCATTGGACAAAGTATTGGTTTTATAAATAAAGTTTTTTACTGTTATAAAAATCATTCTAACCTTTATTGAACGTAATGGCTCTGCTGATGAAATAAGTGCACCTGTTGTTTGGCATTGCTTGCATTGTTTTACCTGTTACAATAAAAGTTGCAATTTTAATTCAGTTTTAACTGATTAATTTTTTTAATTGATTACTACCAACCCATTTTATAATATCCGTAGTCATATTTGGCCAGTAGTATTTTTGACTTCGTCTTTGTTTCACCGCTATGCCCTTCCAAAGGGCTACCGTGTTCCTCAGTAAAAATCTTAATTCTTTCTTCTTCACAAAGTATAATATCCGCGACATTAGAATTTCCGTAGATTGTGACTTTCCGTTTCAGCTTGCCTTCTTGAATAAAGTTTGTTAGACATTTTTTTGGTAGCATGGAACAATATTTTTACTAAAATAAATGTTGCAAAAAAATTAAATTACCTTGCACAACGTAACTTCGAGATTCAATTTTCATTTTTTTTAAAACCAGCCAGATAAGTCTTCTCTGTTAAGTATTTAAAGATGTTATTGAAATAAATTTCTTTTTTTTCACCGTTTGACATCGTTGACAGAACCAACCCACTTAACAAAACTGAATTACTGATTTGTTTGAAACATAAGAAGGTATTTATGCAACAAATTTGTAATTTTGCGTGGGTTTAAACTGCCACAATTGCTTCCTAAAAACTTAATTACTGGTTTGTGGACAACGCCAGAGCATTTAAGACGGTTGTTTTTTATAGTAACGTTGAAAATGGTTTACTTAAAAATATGTTAAAACTAGGGTTGTTCGCCGAAAAACAAAACTTGCGAAAATTTCGCATCTTTATCTACCGTAATAGAATTGTTATTGCGGAAGTTGCACATGCAAAAATGCACATTCCGTAACGCGCTATACGAAAATATAAATAGTAAATAAAATTCCGTAATAAAGCATTGCGAAAGAAAACTTGCGAAACAAATCATTTCGTAAGAATACTTACGAAATAGTTCCTTACGGAAAAAGCATTTCGGAATGTATAGTTACGAAAAAGACGCAAAAGATTTTATGTTACGATATATTTAAGATATTAACTGTTAACAGTTTAAATAATAAATAATAAAATTATAATATATATATATATAAATATGTATATATTTATATATATATATATATATATATATATACATATATATATATATATATATATATATATATATATATATATATATATATATATATATATATATATATATATATATATATATATATATATATATATATATATATATATATATATATATATATATATATATATATATACAGTAAAATCCCGTTCAGTTGGACTCTCAATGAACAGATAAACAGTATGCCTTTCTTTTTAAAAAGTATAAAGAGGATGTGTGATAAACAATTAAATACTTTATTATAAAGAACGAGAGATCTCTCTAAAGGTAAATGATATCAGAAAGAGTAAAAAGAGAAGAAATAAATGTGAAACAGAGGGATGTGAACCTGGGTCTACGCGGCCAAATGTCTTAACTGAATGAGCTATACGTTCATTCAACTAAGTGAATAGTAATATTTATTTAATATATAATCAAGAAACTATATAAAACAGAATTTACAGAAAGAGATACGTATGCAAATAGGATTCTATATATCAGGAAAATGAATAGTAATGTGAACCTTTAAATGCTTATAATTAATATCTGGACTCAAAAACTAGTTACTTTTAATGGAACACAATAGGCTGTAGGAGCCTCAGGGAAATTATATTCAGAAATAGTTATATTAGACTCAGAGTTAGCTAGAAATTATTACAAAGTATTTAGGACAGATGTCTAGTACAAAAAGCAAAAGATTTAAAGCAGAATGATTTATATTATTTGAAAAAGTTGTTTTACGTACATTTCATCATAATTTAAGAAGAACTTAGTAAAGCTAGGGAAACGTGTTGAATTAAGCACAATGAACTCAATCTTAAAAGAATAACTAACAGAAGAGAGGTTGTCACTATTGTGAAGGTGACGACAGATCTGTAATATAGAACATGGAGGTCAAAAAATGCTATCTTAAGTAAAAAGAGTTTGATGAACAAAAGTTACAATGGCTGCGGGATGCGAACCCGGATCTCTGCGGCGAATTATCACGTATCTATCTGATTGAACTATACAATCTTATACTCAAATTTATATCTTATTAAAATTAAAAAACAATATTTTCTTAGATCTATACTTCGAAAAGCGTATTCAAACAGGACTCTAAATACCTTTAAAATCTGCTAGAACTTTAGTAACGTGCACACTTTTAGAAATTATTGAAATAGGTATATTTTATCAGAAATATGCTTAAGCTAAAGCATATTTTTGAGCCTCTTTTTACTATTTGCTTAAGCATATTCAAAAATTTTATATGCTTTAAAAAAAAAAACATCAATATTCCTACACATCAATTTTGGATATAAAGATGTTAATTTTTACAATTAAAATCAGTCTGGCAAACAAAATTTCTTTATAGACTTCAAAACGTCGATTAGCGACAATGTTTGTTTCGCAAGTGCGACTTCCGAAACCGTACTTTCGTACGTTACAAAATAGTTTTGTTTCGTATGTCAACTTGCGAAATGCTAAATTTCGGAAGTGAATTTAATGAAATGAACATCGGCGATTTTAAATGTTTTGTAACATTCGGTACGAAAAAATGTAATTCCTCGTTCTCAATCTCCTTACGAAAGAATGTTGTTTTTCCGGAATTGCACGAAATCCTCCGGTTAACAACCCTAGTTAGAACCGCAAGACTTTGATTTTAACAAATATTTTAGGCGTATTGTAACAATGATCCACGTTGGAATTATTTACGATTAAATTTTTTTCCTTGTGCAAAAGGTTGTGGATTTTAGCATTACAAAGATTTTGAAATAGGTGTCAAAAAAGTAAATCTAAAAAACATTTTAACTAATCCTAGTAATATTTTTTTGAGGAATAACTTTTGCTAATTATTTTGTCGGCATTTTCTTATTGCCTAATTAGGGAATAAATAAGTATTATAACAAAACCGAATAACTACTTATAACTGAAGGTCTTTTCAATTCATTTTTAAAAGCCATTGCAATCCTCAACCTCAACAAAAATGAGATTATATTTATATTCTTCTATATAATAAAACAGGTACGATCCCATTTTTTTTTAAGATTAAGGTTTGTACAGCAGTATTTCTCAAGTTAACTTATACGATTATTCTTTTATGCAATTTTCGACCAAATAGTGCCTTAAAAACACGTTTCAAGGTGGATTCGCTAAAGTTAAATGGTCGAAAAAAATCAAAATCCTTCTCTGATGGAACTGCAAAAATAAATATATATTTATTTGTAATGCTTATGTAAATAGATTTGCCTGTTGCCAGTTATGGGTCCGGTATCACCCGGTCGGTTGGTCACCCCTAAAATAGAGATTCCAAAAGTGTCAGGGTCACGACTACCCAAAAAGCAAAAATTAAAACAATTGACAATAAAATCATCAAAACAGAAATAAACAAAAAGAAAGATTGATATTTGGTTTTATTAATTTCACAGGTGATCACTCCTTAGATCCGTCAATGCTTGTTTTTAAGATTTTCTTTTAAACATTTTTTCCTTCATCTTTTTTTTATAATTTTTAAAGAATATTTTTTTTTTCTCTCGTTAAACTAATCTTTTTTCATTTCAGCTTTGCTGGGTGATATAAAATTCATATTCTAAAGAAATTGATCATTAATTATTATAACAAAGTATATGGTTTGAAATATTTGTATTCACAAGACATAGTTTGAAATTTTTATAACTTTAAAAATACACACAAAATATAAATATACATAATATACATAATATATAAATATACTTAGGTAAATGCTTATGTATTGACTATATACTTCAGCATCTACTTAAAACATAGTCATCTACTTAAAAAATACTATAGAACCTTGAAGTTAAAGATATACATTTTGAATCTATAAATTATTTAGATAAAATGTATAAAACTGCTTTCATAATAAAAATTAAAAAAAAATTAGAGAGTAAGAAATTAGACTAAATTAAAGAAAATGAGAACATTAAAAAAATATAATAATAAAAGATTTGTTTGGTAAGCAAAAATAATTTAAAAGTAGGTTCATCCAGTTTCCACACTCTAGCAGCAGATGGTTACGCAAGTAACAGTACATTAAGCAATAGATTCAAGTGTTTGATCTTCTTTATGGATGCATTTTTCCTGTACTGCTTATATAATGTTTATATTTCGAAATTTTTGATCCTTTTGAACTTTGGAAAATTTTTTGTGTGGTTCAAATAATTACATTTTCTTTCTATATAACAGCATTAATCTTTTATCTTGGCATTTTGATTATCTTATTCTCCATTTGATTCTGTTTAATGAAATAAACAAAAATATCAACACATGAAAGTATAAAAAAAGAACATTTTACATAAACAATTATACAAACTTACATGAGATTGACTTTGAATGAAAATCAAATTTATTAAAACACTTGAGATTCTTCTTTCTAAATCGTCTGCTCATATATTTGAGAAACCAATTTGAAATCAATCTGTAAATAAAAAAGAAAAACAATTTAAAAATCTTAGAACTTCGTATTATTGGAAAAAACAGAAACAACAACAATTAATCAAAGTTTAAAATGAAAACATGGAACAATAATTAAAAAACTCAATACAAACACAATTTTTTGAATTCATTTATGAGAAAATAAAACAAAAAGATCACTTCTACTCAATAGCATCTTATGTTGATTAATTTACTAGGAGATAAAAAATCAGACACTTTACAAGGGGTAGGTGATAATTCAGACAGATGTAAAGAGCTTATTAGAGTATTTTTAAGTAAATAAATCACTAATTAATTTACAGTTGTATAATATCAATCATTATCACAAAACACCATGATCACATCATCTCATATTATACTAATGTATTAGGGGTAGGTAAAAATTCAGACGCTGGTTTTAGTGATTTACAAAGAGAAGGTGAACAATCAATTAAATTAAATAATAACAGTTAAAATAAAGATCCATAATTAAAACATTAAATAACAATTTTTTAAAGTAATTTTTATTAAAATTATTTACAATATTGTTTTAATATTTTTATATAAACTTTATTTTGGTTCTATCTATCAAGAATTTTGATATATGTATATATATATATATATATATATATATATATATATATATATATATATATATATATATATATATATATATATATATATATATATATATATATATATATATATATATATATACAGCATATTTACAAATATAACACATACACACACACGCACATATATATAAATGTTAATTATTGTATAAAGAGTGTATAAAAAAAATTATAGTCTTTATACCAATGTGGTGTATTCATAATAAACTAGTCCTTTTTTTCCTCTGTCAGTGTTTACACATAAATGTGGTTCTATCTCTTCTATAAAACAAATTCACAAAGAAATGAAGTTGAATAATAAATAAACAAAGAAAAAAAAAATTTATTAACACAATTAATTCATATTTGCGTGCATTACCATTAGGACCGAAATAATATTAGCTTCTAAAGATATAACACTAAACTTACCTTTTTAGCACAAGACTGACAAGGTGGGGCAAAAAGAAAACTGAATATCCTGAAACAATTAATAAACTTTATAATAAATAAAATACTTAAAACTAATAAACCTATATATAAGTATTCCGTAACTTCAAATGATTATAAAGGTGGTTTTCCAATAGTGAATAAACAATATGATAAAGTTGAGCTTTATCATATTGTTTATTCAAAAACTGAAAATTTTACCTTCTGCCAGTCAGAAAACGTTCACACTATCACATAAAGTCATTCAGAAAACATCACACTATAACATGATGAGTCACTAAAAACGAACAAAAAATAAATTTTTAAATACAATGTCACAAAATAAACCATCTTATACTGACTGATTTACATAGGGGAGTTAATAATTCAGGCGCAGGTTTAGTGATTTTCTAAGGAGGAGGTGATAATTCAGACAAATACAAAGAAATTTTTTTAGCATTTTTAAGTAAAAAAGTGACTAATTAATTTACAAATAAACAAATTCTATCATTATAAAACAATACTATTATTGCACCATCTCATATAAAGTGATTGATTAAGGGGGGAGGTGATAATTCAGACAGATATAAAAAACCTTTTACAGCATTTTTAAGTAAATAAATAACTAATTACTTTACAGATGTAAAATTTCTATCTTCCTAACTAAATAACATAATCACACCATCTTATACTGACTGATTTACATGGGGGAGTTAATAATTCAGGCGCAGGTTTAGTGATTTTCTAAGGGGGAGGTGATAATTCAGACAAATGCAAAGAAATTTTTTGAGCATTTTCAAGTAAAAAAGTGACTAATTAATTTACAAATAAACAATTTCTATCATTATAAAACAATACCATTATTGCACTATCTCATATGGAGTGATTGACTAAGGGGGGAGGTGATAATTCAGACAGATATAAAAATATTTGTAGAGTATTTTCATGTAAATATATGACTAATTATTGACCGTTGTAAAATTTCTATCTTTCTTACTAAATAACATAATCATACCGTCTTATATTGACTGATTTACAAGGGGGAGGCAATAATTCAGGTGAAGGTTTTGTGATTTCCAAAGGGGGAGGTGATAATTCAGACAGATATAAAGATTTTGAGCATTTTCAAGTAAAAAAGTGACTAATTAATTTACAGATGCACAATTTCTATCATTATCAAACAATACCAGTATCGTATCATCTCATATCAAGTTATTTACTAAGTCTTAGCAAGCCTGAGTCTAAGGGGGAGGTAATAATTTAATACTTTTATGCAAGTATAATAATTATAAGTATAATAAGTAAACTAGTTATATTACATTTGTATAATATCTATTACTATCAACCTTTTTTATATAACCTTCCTTATATTACCTTTCAAAAAAATGGAATTGGAACATCACAAAAGACCAAGTAAACTTTATTTCTCGAATTCTTGTCCTCGAAGCGTCATTTTCGTTGTTTATGTTTACGTTATGTTATGTAAGGTAATCCGGACGTTTTAGGAACACATCTAACAGCTATAACTAGAAAGCGCAACCTCGTTTTGAGTTTTCAATAGGGGGAGGTGATAATTCAGGCGGAGGTAATAATCTATCACAATTCACCAAACTTTTTATAAACTTGCCCAGCTCAATTTAAGCAAGAAAAGTTACGTTAGCTATTAGCTGCCTTAACTTTGAGGTAAAGTTAAAATAACCAAATATTAGAAATAGTGTAATATTATTATGATTCATATATTGTCAGATTGATATAGAATTTTATTATAATATATACAATTCATGTATATAAATTGTATATAGTATAATAAAGTTAACAATAATCATAAATATTATTAATATCTATGATAAAATTAATAGATAACAATAATAATCATAGGTATTAACACAAATATTATTTGTGTTAATATTATTAACACAAATAATATTTGTGTTAATATCTATGATTATTGTTATTATCTATTAATTTTATCTATAAATTATTATGATGCATTTATATTTCAAATATAAATGCCATTTATATTTGAAATACAAATGCATCATAATATTTTTACAACTTAATAACATCTTGATATTTGTTACGTATAAAGTGTTTACTTATTTATGTATGTTTATTTACATATATATATATATATATATATATATATATATATATATATATATATATATATATATATATATATATATATATATATATATATATATATATATATATATGTATACATGTGTGTATGTATATGTATGAATGTATGTGTTTTGCGTATATGTGTGTATGTGTTTGTGTGTGTATGTATGTATGTATGTGTATCATACACACATATGCATAAATAGGCGTGTGCATATACACATATACATATATGTGTGTATGCGCGCACTGGACATACATACATTCACATACTGTGTGTATGTGTGTTTGGTGTGTGGATATGTGTGTGTATGTATGTATATGTTTGTATGAATATCTATGTATGTTTGATTATGTATGTGTGTTTATATATATATATATATATATATATATATATATATATATATATATATATATATATATATATATGCATATATATAAACACTATTATATATAGATTTGTAGGTCATCACGTTTTTGTCAGTTATATAACTGTTTAACAAACCAAAACATTATGTATTATAATATCATAGTATTATTGTTATATTTTTGTATAATATGATCAATTTATTATCTTATAGTTGTAATATAGCATATAATAGGGTCCAAATATATTTAAATTACATGCATCATGATGATATATTATAAATAAATATTGATCTTCATCTTAATGGTAGTCATAAAGATGTTAATCTTTATGACTACCATTAAGATGTTATATTATTAATTAAGTTAAACCTAATGTATTTAATTTATTTATATTAAAATATTATTATATTATTAATATAACATAACATCTTATGCAAAATAATGGTAACATTGTTATTTGAATTAATATATTATAGTATATTGTATATTATTTGGATTATATTTTAAAAGATGCTGTATTGTTATAATGCAGTTATGATTTTGGTAATATATATTGAATTATTATATTATACAATTATTGAATTATTATATTCATAAAAAAAACAACTATGTCTTTATAAATATTAATAAAACACTATATATTTACAAAAAAGCAAGTATATCTTTATAAATATTCTATTTCACAGTTTTTTGTTATATGGTACGAGTCTCATTCAGTTTAACTATCATAATTCATTTAGTTGTTTTAATAGCTTTATTTTGTTTTAGTTTAAATAGAAATTTGATTAATTTGGTCAAGATCAAATCTAGCGTTAAGCTCAATATACTGCTTTAAACGATTACTCTGATGTAGAATGTGTTAAAAAATCTCATTTGTATAAAAATATATAGAAGTATATAAAGCCAACACAATAACAATGATTTGTCACCAAGCATATTGAGGAGCAACCCAATTTCTTCAGAAGCAAAAATGTAACTGAGAGTTTTTAAGTTAACTCCATCATGCTGGAAAGCAGCATCTGTTATCCCTATTTTCAAAAATTCCGGAGAGCGATCTGATTCATCTAACTACCGTCCCATTAGTCTTCTTCCTGTCATAAGCAAGGTTTTTGAATCTTTAATCAACAAACACTTAATCTCTCATCTTGAATCAAATAACTTACTTTCTGATCATCAATATGGATTTCGGTCTTCTCTTTCTACAGCTGATGTGCTAACAGTAATAACCGATAGGTTTTACCGTGCATTAGATAGAGGTGGAGAGGTTAAGGCTATCGCACTTGACATTTCTAAAGCTTTTGATAAAGTTTGGCATGCTGGTCTTCTCCATAAGCTTTCTTCTTATGGTGTAGCTGGTAACGTCTTTAAGATTATTGAGTCCTTTCTTTCCAATCGTAGTATAAAAGTTGTCCTCGATGGACAACACTCTTCTTCACATCCTGTAACTTCAGGGGTTCCTCAAGGTTCAATCCTTGGCCCTATACTCTTTTTAATTTACATTAACGATCTTCCAGATATTCTCACATCTAAGGTGGCATTATTCGCTGACGACACTACCATTTACTCTTGTCATGATAAGAAGCCTACACTCTCTGATTGCTTGGAGGGGGTATCTGGGCTTGAAAAGGATCTCACTTCTGCTACAGCATGGGGCTCACAGTGGCTGGTGAACTTTAATTCAGATAAAACTCAATTTTATTCGGCCAATCGTTATCGTAATAATTTAGATCTTCCTATATTTATGAATGGTAATGTACTAGATGAGTCATCTACCATTCATCTTCTAGGATTAACTCTTACTTCTGATCTATCTTTTAAACCGTATATCAAATCCATTGCAAAATTAGCATCTGCTAAGGTTGCATCTCTTTATCGAGCTCGACACTTTCTTACTCCAGATTCTATTCTCTATCTCTATAAATCTCAAATCCGTCCCTGTATGGAATACTGTTGCCACATCTGGGGCGGATCTTCTAATGATGCTCTTTCTCTTTTAGACAAGGTGCAAAAACGAATTGTAAACATAGTTGGACCTGCTCTGGCAGCCAATCTCCAACCTTTGTCACATCGTCGTAATGTTGCTTCTCTTTCTCTTTTCTACAAATACTATAATGGGCACTGCTCTAAAGAGCTAGCGTCCCTTGTGCCATCTACTAAAATTCATTCTCGTGTTACTCGCCATTCAATTAAGTCTCATCCTTTTTCTGTGACTGTTCCTAAGTGCTTCAAAAACTCTTATTCTTCTAGTTTTTTTCCTCGAACATCAGTTCTTTGGAATTCGCTTCCTTCATCTTGCTTTCCTGATTCATATAATTTGCAATCTTTTAAGTCATCAGTCAATCGTTATCTTGCTCTACAGATTTAGTCTTTTCTCTTCCAGTAACTTCCAACTCTTATAGTGGTTGCTTGCAGCCTTGTTGGAAGTGAAGATGTTAAAAAAAAAAAAAAAAAAAACTGGGAGTTTTCAAATAGTAATTGGTAAAAACTACTAGTCAATTCAAAAAAAGAATAATTTTTATTTTTTTCTATTTTTGAATTGAAAAAGACATTAGAATATAATCCTAATGCAGATTTCCTTTTTGCTTATTAACAGTCATGATTGCACCATTTAATCAGCCAACTACACCAGAAAAAATCTATTTCAATAAAGTTCACCTACAGATAGATAGTGATGTGGGACAATCCTTTGATCATCTCAAAAACCATTGGATGTCACAAGAGACGTGAAGCGCTTCAGTGCTCCTAAACATATGCTTACCCAAACAATATATTGCAAAATATATTTTAAGTGTAAGTGTAAGTAAAACTTTTACAATTCCTTAGGATTAGAAATTCCAGATGACATAAACTTTGAGGACAACAACGAAGATGATGTACACTATGTTCAGGTTGAATTAATACAAGTCAACCAATTCGACTTGGCATTGTACAAAGAACACTAGTTAAAACTATGTTATTAAATTGAAGGGGATATGGGGATATATATGATTTATGTGATATTTATGAATGAAAAAAATGAAAGTTTTTTTATTTATTTATTAATTGCATATAAACAATTTAAAAATTTATCTGCCCTCAATAACCTCTTTGTAGAATAATCAATTCTGAACCCTCTCTACCTCTTTTCAACTTAAAACTATTTTCCTAATATTTATAATTTTTTTTTTTTAAATAAATATTCAATAAAAAGTTTTTTATTTAATATTTATTTATATAAAATTTAGTTTTTGCAGCAAAGTTTATAAAAAATATTATTGTCATTTTATTAGGGTGTGAAAAATGTAACCCCTAATTTAAATTAGTTAGAAATTATATGAATTCAATATTAGAAAAGTTTGTTTTATAAAATTACGAAAACTTGGTTTATTCAAACGAAAATTAACTTGGTTGATTTTTGCGTATTTTTTTGCGTAAGTTTGGCGCAACTCGTGCGTAACCCTAACTTTACGGAAATGCTGCGAAACATTGGTGAATACCAAAACTACGCTGAACTTACGATTTCCGTAACCTTAGTTGAGCTACGCAAGAGTTACGAAAGTTTGGTGAATCCGCACCCAGATTCGCAACTAGAATAAGTGAGTATTGTCACTAATGGAACATATTTAGACGTCAATGCCTTAGACAAAGGAAGTGATTGATTATATTAGAAAATTTTATTGTTTTTACTTATTTCCAGTTTTGTTTAATTATAATTCATACCGCTTAATGGAGTTCATCGTTTTAATGAATTTGCTTTATTTTATAAAAGCATGCAACCTTATAATAAAAATATTCGTTTTAAATTTAGTTTATATACTCAAAGATCTACAAACACAATAATTCTGTTTATTTACATGCAACCCGAATACCTTCAGCCACAGATAAAAACAAAAGAACATTTAAGTAAACCAATATGAAATTATCAGATAAATATTCAAAAACATATTACAAAAATCAAAACAATTATTAACAATTGCCATCGTTGTGGTAAGCATAATGTGATACACAATTAACCTAATATAACACAATTACTTAATTCTTTAGACAAAAAGTACAATATTAAAGCAGAAGTATTACAACAAACAACAAAAACAAACCTCTAATATAAAGGGGAAACGCGCGCATAATTGTTTAAAG